ATACTCATATTTTTAATATATAATTTACTATACTACTATATAAGCTACTACTAAATAAAATAGTAGTAGCTTTGCTATGGTATTATAGTATATATTTTGGTTTAGATTTAATTTACCTATTACAGAATAATACGAACTATATAAAAATTAACGAGCACGTCAACCTACCTCAGATATTGGGTTATAAATACATATAAGTACACATAGGATTTAGTTTCAAATTTGTACATATTTTATAGCCTTCGTTATCAATAGAGTAAACAGGCCAAGCCCCCTAGCCTACAAACGTCTCGTAACGAATCTCTTTCTACAGTCGCGCCTTTTATTTGTTTGGACTGACTACCTGACTAGTTCAGTGATGTCATTCCCATACAGTGTTTAGTTTTCAACTAGCGTTATCTACTATCATAAAATAATTCAAAATTTTATTTATATTTCGCTAATTGTGTCTGTACTGTGAATTTGATTTACAATCGGTCTCTAAATTGTAGTTTTCTTTATTAATCTCTAATTACTTACCTTGTCTAGACGTGTTCTTTGGACTTCTGTAAGGAAGTCTGTGCTGTTAGTCCTATTCCGTTTAGGTACGTTACTATTTTGATAGACGTTTGTGCTTGTCCCTGCAGTGACACAATTCCTATTGTTGATAACTTTCTAAGTAGTAAGAGAATACTGCAAACCGCTATTGAACACAAACAATCAATAAACAATTTACAAACTAACATTTTTATTTATTTAATTAACTACATAAAAGCCCCACTCACATCAGTCGCGCTGTCGAAAAAGCAGTTATCCTGATACTGGCTGGCATATACTTCGGGGAGTTGCCTGTGGCTTGTGGGCTATTATAGTTAACTAGCTATGGTAAGTAAATACCTATTTAGAATACATATTACCTACAGTAATGTTTGCATAACCTACAATTAAATATATCTTGCCAGGTCGTCACTCCATCTAGTGGGGGGTCGCCCTACACTACGCCTACCGGTACGAGGCTGCCACTCGAGAACCTTTCTTCCCCATCGGTTATCGGTTCTTCGAGCTATATGGCCGGCCCATTGCCACTTCAGCTTACTAATCCGTTGGGCTATGTCGGTCACTCCGGTTTTACTGCGGATAACCTCATTTCTGAGTCTATCACGCAGAGAAACTCCGAGCATAGCCCTCTCCATAGCTCGCTGAGCGACCTTGAGCGTCCTCATACGGCTAACAGTGAAGGACCACGTCTCAGATCCATAAGTCATCACTGGCAACAGGCACTGGTTGTAAAATCTAGTTTTTAGAGATTGTGGTATACCTGACGAGAAGATATGTCGTAATTTCACGAACGCTGCCCAGCCGAGTTGAATCCGTCGATTGACCTCTCGGTCGAAGTTGGACTTACCTAGTCCAACTGTACGACAAAAAAACTGCGGTTGCCAACCCGCTCGCCAAGAGTGGCAACTATGGCAATATACCCCCCATGAACAGAACATACATAACCAAAAAACAACGAATTGAGAACCGCCTCCTTTTTTCGAAGTCGGTTATAAAGTAGGTAAAAACATGATATATATATGATTATATATATATTCATATCATTCATTTGGATATTTATTTACGAAGTTTATAAGCATGTATATATATTATATATATGTATGTATGTATTATTGTACGTATATTGATACTATATGTGTGTATATTTAAATGTAATATGTATGTATGTAATTTGCATATATGTATATTTTAATGTATAAGCACTTATTTACGTATAATGATCGCACCTGCCAACCCAGGGTTGACTGGCAGAGAATGCCACATGGCATTAAGTCCGCCCTATGTGCCCTTTAGCTTGAGGTGTTACGTGTAAGTTTATAAATAAATAAATAAAAACAAATCAATATATAATACCAACATCTACTTAAATTCACATAAGAACTTTCATAATAACAACTAAATTGGGTTCATAATAATAACACCAATTTGTTTCTCTTTTTAAAATACGTTACCCCCACAGTAGGATTTTCTCCTGTATCGTGGAGGCAGTTTACAAACATAAATTGCACAAGGACAAACATCCAGACCCGGAACAACTATTTGTAGGCTATACAAATATTTGTTCCGTGCGGGATTCGAAACCGCGGCCCCCAGCGCAGTCTCATTGCTAAGCCACTGCGACACGAAGCTTTCAATTGCGGTTTGAGTTTATGTTGTCATTCGAAAAAGAATCGCAATATGTAGGTACTCGATGACGCCGTCGCTTTGCGTCACTCAGGAGTGTGTGTATGTGTGTGCGCACTAGCTTCTTACTGCTCATCACAGCGTCTATCTCTTTCGCACGTGATGTCGGCTGAGATAGCATGCATTTTAACCCCGCCCAACATTTAGTTCGAGCTATCGACTAGGGCCACTTTGAGAAAAAACAAAGGCATCCATTATGAATCGTGTTTATTTGTAATAATTATTGAACAGTTAGCTACTACATTATTAACCCTTATGTGAGTGACGAGGTACCCGGGTGCCTCTGGCATTTTCTAATTCTAAAAAAAGTAGGTTTTACGCCCTATATGTGCTGTGACTTCCTGGGAGCTCTTAACTATTTATAAATTACATATTTTTTAATGTTTTGACCAAGTCTATTATTTACAACGTTTTGTGGAAACCAAAACATATTTTGAACTCACAATCGAGTGACGCGGTACCCGGGTACCTCTTTGTGTTTTGTGTGACTATGAGGAAAGTATTTTTAATTTCGTACAAAAATTAAATAATAAACATTTGTCGAAGTATTCTATTTCTATAAAAATTACAAATTCTTTGTTCATACAGTATTAATAACAGCTCTCGAAGCAGATGTTACATGTTGGACGAGTTACTGCATGTTCATCACAAACTGGTTTTCTGCAGTTAGTGCAAGCTTTTCGAGTTTTTCTTTGCATGCTCTGCATAGGTAACAACTTCCGACTACTGCAACACGCCCTGTAGAATCTCGTCTAGTTTGACTTAAGGTGATATCAAACGGTTCACTCGAATGATTGTTCACTCGAGTGAATGCTTCATTTTTTTCATTCTATGTACACACGGCTTAGACGAAATGATACAGAAATGAACATTCATTGTTCTTTTTTTTAAATATGTCATCGAATGAAGTCGTACGTCTTGGAATTAGTTTAATTTATGATCATTTAATCAAAGAGTGGACAAAAAAGAAGCAAAGAAAACGTCGACGGTGGTGGGTGCGACCTGAATTCGGTCGTACGTAGCGGGCTAAATATCTGTTGGTACTTTTAAATAAAACCAACAGATATCTTGATTAGGTATATATATATATTTTTTTCTTTCTTCCGATATCGTTCACTTTTTTATAAAGCACACAAACGCCTTATGCAATTAACACACCTCGAACCATACCGCGAGGAAATCTACAACTAGCGACATCTATTGTTCACAAATAAAATTAAAACACTTTATATTGATCTGATTACATACGAATCGTGAACATTCCGCCCACCAAGGACATTATCAAAGATATGTCCTTTAATTTTAAAGTAAAGTAACAATAACAAAAGAAAAACATACAACTATTATTATTCTAAATACACAAAAATTAGGCGAGATGAGAAATAATAATCTTCTTAATATAACTAAAGCAACACATTACTGTACTTCCATAAGCTTAATACAATTTTAAATGAAAACAAAAAATAAATAACGCAAAAAAAATCTTCAATTTGTTACAAACAGAAACTACAATACACATACAATTTCATACATTTACGTCTTTACTTATTAATATGATATAGGTAGTATACATAAACGGGATGTTGGCCGTTTAATTACAGATTTTGTAGTTTTTAATGTGACCACTCGAGTGATATTATCGGGGCCGGGATGTTTTTGTAATATTCGACCTAGCAACCAGTGAGCAGGAGGCATATCATCTTCCTTTATTAAGACGACATCCCCGATTTGGGTGTCCACGCCCTTTCGAAACTCTTAGATTTATTGGACCAGCATAATCGACCCCACTATAGAGAAATGCTCTAGATGGAGTAGCACGCACTGGTGGTAATTGACGCATCAGTTGGGTTTTCGTATTGGCCCTTTGTCTTAACATGTCACATATCTGCGAACATGTTGCCTCACTAGGCTCTTTAGACCACCTATCCAATAAGTGGATCGCAAATAATTCATCATTAATTGAGGACCACCGTGTAAAGTCTTATGGTGTGCATCAGAAATAATTAAGGGTACACTAGTCGCCCATTCTTCCATACAAACGTAGTCTGGCGATTACTCCACTTTTAGATGGTGTACGTTCAAAATAAAAAATGATTTCAATTTGTCTCATCATTATCTAGCCCTGTATGAAAACAAAAAAGTAAAAAAAGAATATAGTTAAAAGTTATAAGCGTCGAAAATTTCAAATTTCAACACTTATTTTAACAAATCTTTGGGCGGAAATAAATACTATAAGAAGAACGAAAATTGCAAAACAGTTACCATACAGGGATAGATTATTTGTTCAAAAATGCAAATAATTTTATTTTGAACAGATACATTCAATAGATTTTTCGTGACATCCAGACTACCAAAGGTCCGTTTATAAAATTTCGCGCGCCCGTTTTTGTTATAAAACATCTTGCCTTTCGCTACAAATTGTTTCCCCGATCAGTGGGACGGACGGAGGGGGAGCGCAGCACGCACCCACACATGCTCAGTCGGCTGCTGCATACGTAATCGTAATTACGCGCGTACTGTGTATGTAACTGATAGTGTGCTAACGTATTCGTATATTATATTTTATAACATTGACCCCTGGCTTGAACTTTGGATTCTAATATTCCTTTATTGATGATATTTTGTATTGGTTATTTTGATTTGTCTCATATTTTACTGACCCTGGCATTTTACTTTGGATTCCGATTTGATAGTTGTAGTGATTTAGTACATGGCATTTGAATTTGAACTTGTTGTGTCAGTGAAGTGAATTGAAGTGATCTTCAGCAATTCAGGGAACAATGGGTAAGTGTAATCTTTGATTGAATTTAGTTTCTAAGTAAAATTCATGAGACAAAACAAGCATGATGTGACTTTTATAAACTTTTATTTATAGTTGTAATGTTTCACGTGCATTTATGAAATTTTAGAATTATAAACTAATACCTGCATATCTACCTATCTATTTATGGTGGTAATACCTATTTTATCTACATCTATAATTAGAAAAATTGCTTCCTTTTGTTTGTGTCAACTGCTGAAGACGGACCGAATATAGCTGCTAAAATATACCCAAAAGTTTGTTGAAGAACATTGAAAACAGGTAGCTACATAATAATGAACTTTCGATACAGGTAGTACATTAGGTAACTAACTTTGCTAACTAACGAAAACATCTACAATAAGCACGATTATCGAAAATCTTAAAATTATAAAAATAATATATTTCGACATAACATAACAATATAAAAATTATAATAATAATAATGTCCTCCAGACCGAATTTCGGCCACGGCGGCCTGCCTCAACGGAGGCTAGCCATCGGCGCAGGACAGGATTATAGTGCCCAAGTGTATGCGCAAGCACAGGTACACTCTCTATTCCCTCACTCTCGTAATCCGATGAGACGGTAAACCGACACGACCGGAGAGCGATCAGGCGCAGGACCAACGGCTTTACGTGCTTTCCGATGCACGGGAGTGAGACACCGCCAACTTCTTGACTCCGGGCAGCTACTGAGAATTTCTTGACAGAAAACCTCAATAATTGATTTTTGGCCCGACCCGGGATTCGAACCCAGGACCTCGTGATCAGCAGTCGCACTACTACAACCACTAGACCAATGAGGCAGTCAGAAATTATATAAGTTATATAAATATTAATTTAATTAGAATAGGAAATTTTTAGATTTTTGATAATCGTACTTATAGGAATCTAATATACCTAATCCAATTTATGGAAGTACATAAAAATCTAAGAAGGGCAGTCAGTGTTAAGTGTAATATGTTTTGCATGTATGTTGTTTTAAAAAAAAACACTACACAACAAAATAATGAAACTGAGAAGCACCCGATCTGCCGAAACACTATGACATCTATCATAGTCTTTTTTAAAGTCCAGGTATTATATTGGTCATGTCATACGAGAACCAGGCAAGTGTCTAATAAGTTCTTTTGAAGAAAGAACCATACAGATATGAGTGAACCTGTCCAGATAACTAAGTACTTTTTAGAATTCCGTACCCAAAGGGTTACCAACGGGACCCCATTACGAAGCCTCCGCTTTCCGTGTGTCTGTCTGTCAGCGGGCTGTACCTATCTCATGATCCGTAACAGGTAGATGGTTGCAATTTTCACAGAAAGTGTATTTTTGTTGCCGCTATAACAACAAATAGTAAAAATAAATTTGAAAAGGGTTTCCTACTAGAAAAAGAAACCTATATTATTGGCTTTTTTGCTTGTGTTGGGAGTAGTGGTGCTGAGACTAGTGGTGACGGAGTTAGTGCATGCAATTAAGGGAGGGCGGGAGGTGCTCTTCAATCCAGGTAAGACACAAGGAAATTTTTATTTTTATTTTTTATGATAGTACCTAATATGTATATTAAATCTTGTACGATAGATACGAGCTCGGAAGTCCAACTCGCACTTGGCTGTTTTTTTTTTGTTTTTTAAATATTTGTTTATATTTATTCTTACCACAGATTACTTACCAAATATTTTTTTTTATATTTAAGAATATTGAATGATTAATAATAAAGAAGGTTGATTTAAATATTCAATTATTGATATTTCATTAGAATTTAAGAGGTTTGTGGTAAATGATAAAAACATTGTTTTACTTTTAAAAAGATTGTCGTTGTACTAAGACTAAAAAATTAAGGGTGTCCTGCCTTTTACCGCAATGTCCGGCTAAACTCGCTGGTCTGTCCGGCTTTTCGGTTTTAGACCTGGCAACCCAACTCACATCACAAGCTCGGCTTGGCTGAGCTCGGCTCGGCCACCCGAAACTACCCGTTACTTTGTGACATGAAGTAGTAATATAATATACATTCGTACCTAGATGCCTATTACTAAAGAAAATAGTAGTACCTAGCTTTGATATGGTATTATAGTATATTTTGAATTAGATTAGATTTCTTACAGAATAATACGAACTACATAAAAACTAAGGAGCGCAGCAGCCTACCTCAGATATTAGGTTAAAAATAGAGATAAGTGCACATACGATTTAGTTTATAAGTTGTACATGTTTTATAGCCTTCGTTATCAATAGCATAAACAGGCCAGCCCCCTAACCAAGTTACAAAAGTTTCGTATCGAATCTCTTTCACGTCTTTTATTTGTTTGGACTGACCACGTGACTTACGTTCAGTGACGTCATTCGTTACCGATTGTAGTTGTCAATTTGGCTAGGGGGGCGTTGTGAAGAGAATCACAGGTATTTTGCTGTAGACCTTTCGTTAACTGCCTTTATGGCCTCCTTTGTCGGTATATTTAATTGAATCCTGTACACATACAGAATAATCTTTTGTGTTACAGAGCCAAACAAGGATAAGCGAATGGGCAAAAAGACCAGCGTATGGCCAAGTGTCGCTCGCAAGCAGAGATGCAGAGTAAAAGGGAGATTTTCAAATGCAAATAAAGAAAATATTCCTGCAAGAATGAATATGTCTGAATCGTAAGTTCTTTTTCGTGTATAATAATTATTTTCATGCCAATAACATTGTAGAAATATGTACAGTTGACAGTTTATAATTTCTCAAGTTTTAAGTTGTATTCGAGTTTATAATCTCTCAAGATACTTTATTATTTAACGGAGTTTGCAATCATCTGGTGACATACACCTTTCTTTTTTAGGTGCTCTACGGATATATCGAGAAATACCGCAAATGTCGCCAAAAACCCACGTCAAGCAAATATTGTGGCAACTCTTCCGCCAAACTGGTAAGTGATAAGATTAGAAAAGTAAACAGTGTTGAAAGAAGTAATATTTACTTAGTAAGAAGAACCCATAGCGAGTATGTGTATTCACTAATTTTTAATCTTTGTGATTTAGGTCATCGAAGCAAATGATAGTTCAAGCGGAAGTACATAATGCACCCTCAAGATCAAACTGGAAATATACTAATAAAGATGTAGTAGAAGCAGATGATCACGAAGTACCTCGCAAAATGATGCACTCCTATAACTACCAGCATCAAAGCGATTGGGATATCATAGAGCCTGACGTTGCTTTTGCACGTAACACACCGGATTTGTGAGTATAACCAGTTTCAGAAATCAATTTCGTAAACGTATGTTTTAGGCGGTTCTGATAAAATAATGTTTTTACAGGATCACACCGGTCACGCAGACAGAACTGACTTCACCATGCAACCAATCCAGCGATTCAAATTTGAATATAAATCTACCTGTTGAGATTATTAGTAAGGATAATAGCAACGTAAATACAAGTTTGGAAGGTAATAGGATAGTTAATATAGCATATCTCTTCGAGCAAATTAAAAATATATCGCACCATCCCTTTCAATGTAATTTTCAACATTTAAGTTTTGTAAAAGAGTTAAGAACTGGATTTTATTCAGAATTTTATTTTAAATGCCGGTTGTGCAATAAAATGGAAAAAATTAGATCTCAAACATGTTATCAAGGATCTAAAGAAAACCCAATAAATTTAAATATAATAGAAGGCGTTTCACAAACTGGTAATGGATGGGCTCAGCTTGACGAAATATGTGCAAGTATAAATATGCCCAACATGAGTGAAACATATTATATAAAAAAAAAAAATAAAGAGCTTTATAGAATTCAAAAAGATATAGAATTGCAGTTTATGTTAGAAGCAGGTGCGGAAGAAAGGCGTCTTGCTTTTGAAAATCATGAAGTCGATAGTCAAGGTGTACCCTGTATAACCGTCGTAACAGATGGCTCATGGGCTAAGCGGAGCTATGGAACAAATTTTAAGTCTTTGTCTGGTGTGGGTTGCATTATAGGGCATCGGACGAAAAAAGTTTTATTTATTGGAGTCAAAAATTCTTACTGTTGCATTTGCGCGTTAGGTAATAATAAAAAAGGCCAATACGAACGCATGAATGTTTTAAAAATTGGTCTGGTCCATCTACCGAAATGAAGACATCGGCCATTGTCGACGGTTTTAAAGCCAGCATGGAAATGCATGGGGTAAAGTACACAAAAGTAATAGGAGACGGAGATAGTAGCGTAACGAACGCTCTCAGAGATTCGTTGATATATGGTCCCGATGTTCACATTAGGAAAATAGAGTGCAGCAACCATTTACTTCGGAATTATTCGAACAAACTTAGAAAGATCGGCAAAAAAACTGAAAATAAAGTTGGTTTTGTACCTGTAAGTAATAGGAAAGTACTTTTAGATAGACTACGGCGCTTGTATAATGCTGTAACTGGCGTTGTTGCACACGCAAGACAACTTGAGGTCCCAACAGCAGAGAAGCTTTTAGTTCTCAAGGAAGACTTACGAAATGGTCCATGCCACGTATTTGGTTGGCATGATATTTGCAAACCATATTACTGCAGGAAAAAAATAGAAGAAAATCTTGTTCCGCAACTGAAATCTAGCGGCATGTGGCATGATATTTATGATAATCTTGGGTGGCTGCTTCAAAACGCTGAAAGTTTACTGTTGAAGGAAACAAATAATCCTGTGGAACAATTTAATGCAATTGTTGCCAAATTTCTTGCAGGAAAAAGAGTAAATTTTACACTCAGAGGCACCTACGAAGCAAGATGTTTTGCAGCAGCAGGACATTATAATTCAAAAGATTATACTTTTATGCGTAAAGTGCAAAATGCTGTATGTCCAGAGGTGCCTGACAATACGTATACATACACCGATAAATATGTACAAAAAAAAAAAACAAAAATACTAACAAAACAACGAAAAAGAACCGCTGCAGATAAAGCGCAAGGTAACAAAAAAGCTAAGCGCTTTAAAATGGCAGACAAACATTATGGTGATGTAATCGAGGTTCCTGATATGCCTCAGGAAGAATTTGAAAAAAAGAGAACGGAATTTATCCTTGCCCTTAAACTAGCTGCTGAAGAAATTTGTGTGTTAGAAAAAAGAACAATCGCCCAGGGTAATTCTGATCTGTGGATTGTTGAGCGCAAAAAAAGATTAACAGCTTCCATTTTTGGCCAAGTTTGCAAAATGAAGGACTCAACGCCTTGTACATCTCTAGTAAAAACCATTTTATATTCAACCTTTACAGGTAACGACGCAACAAGATATGGCAAAACTCATGAAGCGACTGCAATAGCAGATTTAGAAAAAAAAAATTGATCAAACGGTTACACCATGCGGTTTGTTTATAGATTTAGAGAACCCGTATCGTTTACTAGAGACCGACAGTATTGTTGAGGTGAAATGTCCAGCGTCAGCAGCAGCTTGTACACCAATGGAGGCAATCCGTTTAAAAAAATAACGTTTTGTACGGAGACCGAAGACGGTATAAAATTAAAAAATACCCATAATTACTATTACCAGGTACAAGGCCAACTCAAAATAACACAACGAAAACACTGCTATTTCGTAGTATGGACTCCAAAGGGCATCAAAATAGAAAAAATTGAATTTGATCCAACATTTTGGACACAAGAAAAAATAAATAAATTAGAAAAGTTTTATTTTAAATGTGTGCTACCAGAACTGATAGATCCTCGTTTCCCTAGAAAACTGCCTTTCCGAGATCGATTTTAATTTTACGTCAGCGGTTTATTATTACCGCCACTATAAAAAAAGTTAAGTTACAGCCTATATACATTCCACTGCTGGCCACAGGCCTCCCGTCCGCCGCGCTGCCCCAATGCGTTGTGAACGTTGGCGAACTTCACATGTCTTCGAAATATTTTTCCTTATTCCTCAGACATCCAAGTTTCCTCACGATGTTTTCCTTCACCGCCGAGCACGTGGTAAATGATAACTTAAAATTGCAATTAACAATTTCATTGGTGCCGGCGGGGATCGAACCCGGGTTACTCGCGTTCTGTTATATTTATAGCGAGCTAGCGTTAATCCATAAATAAAAAGATCTAAATTTTAATTTTATTTCGCTAACTGTGTCCGTACTTATATGAATTTGATTTACAATCGATCTCTGAATTGTAGTTTTCTTCTAAATACTTCCCTTGTCTAGACGTGTTCTTTGGACTTCTGTAGGGAAGTCTGTGCTGTTAGTATTCCGTTTAGGTACGTTACCAGGCTGCACTAAAAGTATCGGGAACGGAATATTTCCACTGTTCCTGTCATATTAAAATCTTTTTACTTGAAAACTCATTGGTTTTAAAAATCGAATACCATTCATTTATTTAAAAAAAGATTCTCGGTCTTGTTACAAGGTTTTGTCAAACTTGTTTAGTCGTTGAGAAAATGGAATTGAACCCGAAACAAAAAACCAGTCACGAGTTTGGGTGTTCGAAAATGAGTTAAATTAAAGCCAACAAAAATTGTTCGTTCACGGAGTGTTGCCAAAAAAATGGTGGCCACGTTTGTCTCCAAAACCGGCCATGTTACGACTATTCCTCTTGAGGTACAAAGAACGTTTAATGCAGAATGGTGTGCTAGCATTTGTTTGCCACAGGTCGTTTCTGAACTTCCTAAAGAGAACTGCAACCGCCGCATCATCCTCCATCACGACAATGCGAGTTCTCACACCGGACACAGAACAAAAGAGTTTTTAGAGCAAGAAAACATAGAATTATTAGACCATCCGCCGTACAGCCCCGACCTAAGCCCTAATGATTTCTATACTTTCCCTAAAATAAAGAATAAATTGCGTGGACAGAGATTTTCATCACTTGAAGAAGCTGTGGACGCCTACAAAACGGCCATTTTGGAGACCCCAACTTCCGAATGTAATGATTGCTTCAATGATTGGTTCCATCGTATGGAAAAATGTGTTAAATTTCGCGGAGAATACTTCGAAAAACAATAAATACATTTTTAAATAGTAATGTTGTGTCACTTCCTTGATTCCCGAAAATTTCAGTGCCGCCCACGTACCATTTTGATAGACGTTTGTGCTTGTTCCTGTAGAGACACAATGCCTATTGTTGATAACTTTGTAAGTACTAAGAGAATATTACAAACCGCTATTTTGTTATTTACACAAACAATCAATAAACAATTTACAAACTAACATTTTTTTTATTTAATTAACCTACATAAAAGCCTCACTAACATCAAAGTCGCGCTGTCGAAAAAGTAGTTATACTGACACTTGCTGGCATATACCTACTACGGGGAGTTGCCTGTGGGTTATTATAGCTAACTAGCTATGGTACGTAAATACCTATTTAGAACATACATAAAAAAAACCAACTAATTGAGAACCGCCTCCTCTTTTCAAAGTCGGTTAAAAAGTAAAAACAAATCATTGAAGTGCCATTAAAAATAAACTTGTAAAAAGAACCAAGTCTCGCAACTCAGTTCTTCTACCGTAAAAAGTTGTGAGATCCGTGTAATAAATACCAAGGCGGTGAATTTATTCAGTCCCTACTTAGGGGTCGTAATAGTAATTAGCTAACCTAACAACATTATATAGTGACCATATCAATTAACATCTTTTATGTTTTAAATAAATAGATAGACTTGGTCATCGCATGAAAACACAATGTATCTCACAAGTAGATTGTTTGGTGGATGGATCTCACAACTGTATACGGTAGAAAAACTGAGTGGCGAGACTTGGGTCTTTTTACAAGTTATGTTTTGGATGGCATTTCATTTATTTTTGTAGGTAGTTCTACTTTTTTTTCCGGTACCTTCCACTTCTTGTATACCAAAAACGTACCTACACCTATTACACATATACACTGATTCCTTCACACTGATTCCTTCACTGCAAATGTAACTTTGTAATCCTATATATTTTTTTGGGATTACAAAGTTATTTATGCAGTTGGTTTATCTAGAAAACTGGATGGAAATTGAAAAATATTTTAGTTTTTCCTTGATTTATATACTAAACACTAATTGTATTCTAAATTTGAAGCTTCTATGTCTGCTAGAAGTGCCTTAGTTTTGATGACGACGGTCGGTCGGTGACGGTCAGTCAGTCAGTAAATGACAAAAACTGACTTTAGTTATAATTCACTGGTTCAAATTGAATGAAATTTGAAATATATTTTTGCTCGAATTGGCGGGGGCACCGCCTTGCCCCTAGATTATTTGTTGATAATAACAACATCTACGTAAATTCACATAAGAAATTTCATGATAAAACTAAATTGGGTTCGTAATAATTACGTTTCCACACAGCAGATCCTAAGTTCTAATAACATTAATTTGTTTATGTTGTCATTCAAACGATAGGATAGACGATAGGTAGGTATGCGATGACGCCTTCTATGTTTTTAATACTGTGCCGTCGCTCTACACACGTCGAGCGCTGGTCCAAGGAAATCGCGCAAATGCGTCATTTAGCGTAGAGCGTGTACGTGTGTGTGCATTAGCTTCTTACTGCTCATCACAGCGTCTATCCCTTTCGCACGTGAAGTCGGCTGAAATAGCATGCATTTTAACCCCGCCCACCACTTTGTTCGTGCCGTCGACTAGGGCAACCTTAATCTGGTTAAATTAGAATTATGTGGCAGTACTATAGGATGTTTGGCATCTTCATGCATAGATGATGCTTGAAGACGACCACCAACTCTTAAAATTTTATTTTTATCTAAGTAAGGCGACAGAGATTTTATTTTACTACCCTTTGCCTGCACATTAGCCCTTTTCACAATCTCTGCATATTCTTCAGCAAATTCTTGTTTTTGACACAGTCTTATACAACAAATTAATGCTTTATCCAGTTCTTTCTTCCTCAAATATTTTGTATGTGCTTCGGTATTCTTATATCTTTTTAAAGACCTTTTAAAACGCCTACAATACGCTACAACTCTAAGTAGCTTACTGAGACTAGAATATCGGTCTAATATGGAAACATCAATTGAAGTTACATTAGTTGTTATGGCTCCTTATAAATAAACATCTGATTCCAATGGTTTCTCATAGACTACCGTCTTATTTGTGAGAAATTTTGGACCAGACATCCATGTTTTACAATTGATTAGCTCTGATGGTAAGAGGCCTCGTGATGCGTAATCCGCCGGATTGTCTCTCGACTTTATGTGAGCCCAATGACTCGAATCTAGTGATATTAGGATCTCAACAAAGTCGTGATTCGCAACAAAAGTCTTCCAACGACTAGGATGACCCGTTAACCACGCCAACACAACAGTTGAATCTGTCCATGCTCGTACATTATACAAAGGAATTTTTAAAACTTCTGCGACTTCTGAGAGCAAGCGCGTCAGCAGCACAGCACCACATAACTCTAAACGAGGAATGCTAATTCTTTTTATGGGAGCAACTCTCGTTTTAGCAGCTAAGAGGGACATGTAAACGTTGCCTTTACTGTCCATTATGCGAATGTACACGACTGCTGTATATGCTATATTAGAAGCGTCAGAAAACCCGTGCAATTCGACCCTTGAATCAGTTGTCTTTGTTCCGCACCATCGAGGAATATGGATTTTGCTGAGTAGTGGTAACTCTTCACGGTAAGTCAGCCATTCATTTAATAATTTCATTGGAACCTCTGCATCCCATTCTAGACCAGTTAACCATAGCTTTTGTATAAATGATTTCGCTACTACAATACAAGGTGCTATCCAGCCCAATGGGTCGAATAACCGTGCTATGTCTGAAATAATACGTCTTTTTTTTGCAGGTTTGACCAGAACCGGAAGCTGCACTGAGAAATGGAACTCATCATTACTGCGACTCCAGGTAAGTCCCAATATTTTTTATTGTAGAATCCAACTTTATTTCTAGATCTTCCCTTTCTTTATTTTCATCTATCATACTCCAACCAATGCATTCTTTATCCTCATTCTTCCTTATCTCTTTAAGTAGTTCGTTTTTATTGCTATTCTTTTTTTTTATAGGATAGGGTGACAAACGAGCACACAGTCCACCTGATGGTAAGTGGTTGCTGCGGCCCATAGACATCTACATCTATCTTCCATTACAAATCAAAATGCAGATGCGTTGTCACCCGTGAGGACTGAGATGGAATGCCTCATTTCCAGTAAAAAGGGTCTCCGGTTCTCTACACTCACCATACGAAATACAGCAGCATTAAGCTACTATTTCACGCTGGTATTCTGTGAGAGCGTGGTCCTTCCCCGGTCGAGCCGACCCATTCGTGCTACAACTATACTACTAATATAAAAAATAATATATTTCAATTCCTTCTTTTACAGTTTCACAACCAGTCATAAGATCATCCATATAGAAATCTCTTAATATTATATTCCTTGCATGAACATACTTCTCTCCGTCATCAATCGCTAACTGTTGCAGAAATTTAACGGCTAAATAGTTGGAGCAGACGCCGTACCAAAAGTTACCGTTACCAGCTCGAAATCCTGGATTTTACTTTCCTGATTATTTCTCCAGACTATTCGCTGATATGCTGCATCTTCATCAGTAACACGGACTTGTCGGTACATTTTTATAATATCGGCTACCATTGCTATTGGGTGACATCTCCAGCATAAGACAAGGTGACGCAAGTTGGATTGTAAAGTAGGGCCGACCATTAAAACATCATTTAGTGAAACTCCATTTTTGTCTTTAGTAGATGCATCAAAGACTACCCTAAGTTTGGTGGTGGCCTTGTCCTCTCTTACAACCGCGTGATGTGGTGAGTACACTCCTTCTTCTTTACTATCTACTGGCCTCATATGATTCAAATTCAAGTATTCCTGAATAACCTTTGTATATCTGTTTCTAAATTCTTCATCCTTCATTTTTCTCTATAAGGCTAACAATCTTTTCACAGCTATCTCTCGTGAACCACCTTGTTTACAGGATGGACCTTCATCACGAAACGGTAATTTCACCACATATCGACCTTCTGCTGTTCTTGTCGTCGTCGCTGCGAAAATCTCCTCACATTTCAGCTCTTCCTCGGTAAGTATCCTTTTAGATATACCTGATTGATCTGATTCTATTTCCCAGAATTTTTTAAGAATTTCATCTTCTTTGATCTGAGAGTGCAGTACTGGTGAGTTGTCGCAATCTTCAGACATTACAAGACCAGAAATGATCCACCCTAAGGTAGTGCATTGTGCAATAGGAGTTCCAGTAGGACTTCTAGTTACTCCTCCCTTCAAAATCTGGCAGTAAATGTCTGCACCAAGCAGAATGTCAATTTTATTCGGTAAATAATTTTCTGGGTCTGCCAACTGAACATTGTGTATTTCAGCCCAAGGTAAACAGGCAACCTTTTTACAAGGTAGGTAAGTAGTAATATTATTTAAAACATAAGCTTTCACTTCAAGGTGAAAACTGGGATCAGACAGTGATTGAATTTTAATAGAAACCATGTACTTCGACACCACCGAAGACTGATTACCGCCTAGTCCTGTAATAACTCCCTTCACCGGTATCTTTTTTAACTTTAATAATTGAACTGTGTTTTCAGTAACGAACGATGCTTGTGAGCCCTGATCGAGCAAAGCTCTAATAATTTTGAAATCGCCAAATTTAGACTTAGCTTTCACTAGAGATGTTGCTAGCAAAACCTGTCTAATGATCTTTTCTGTCGAAAGGCAGGATAATATTGGCGTTGTTTCGGTTGAACTACTAGCCGTTACACTTTTTTCATTTTTAGTAACGGCCTTGTCTGTTTGCCCACTGTGTACGACTGGTGTAAATTTAGGGTGAAGAAGTGAGTGATGCCGCTTTTTACAAATACGACAAGAAACATCTACAATATTTTGCAGAGTGATTACGTCCTAAACAATTTAGACATAAATTATTATTTAAAACAAATTCATGTCTTTTATTGTATTCCTCCTTTGCGAACTTCTTGCAAAAACATAGTTTATGGTTTTCTGTACAATATTCACATTGAATATTTTTTGATGACAGAATGTTTGCATGATGAGTGTGTGAGTGTAAATGTTGAGCGTGTGATGGTCGATTGTGTAGAAATGTAGGTTTTTAATTGTCTAAACATTCCAAAGCCCTAAATCGACCCTCTATAAAATTCGAAAATTGTTCATAGGTAGGTAATTCTGTGCAACTGTCACTCGATATATTTAACTCCCACTTCTTACGGGTTTCAAGATCTAATTTATCTGTAAGTATGTATATAATAATAATATCCCAGGTGGCCACATTAATGTTGAGATTTCTCAACGCATTTAAACAATCAGACGTTGTGTCCAAGAGGTCCTTTAACCCATTGGCAGATTCTACATTCATACGCCTTTGGTTAAATAAACGTTTTAAAGTACAATTAGTTAGGTATTTTTTGTTATCATACCTTTTTTAATAATGCCCAACACTGAATGTAGTTTAATTCGGTAATAGGTATATGCCTGACTAATTGCTCGGCTTCACCTGTTAAAAAACCCTTTAAATACTTAAGTTTATGTACATCATCAAAGGATGTATTATTATGTACTAAAGACGTGAATAAATCCCTAAAAGTGGGCCACTCAGTATACTTTCCCGAAAACGGGTTAATAGTAATTTTTGGTAACTTAACCAACGAGCCTATTGACTCAGCTTCATTATTTTTAGAACTATATTGATCATTTTTCTCAACATTATATTTAGCTAAATCAGTTGTTAATTTACATTTATATTCTACATAACACTCTTCAACTTTATCATATAAATCGTCATATTCAATATCCTTTAAATCATCCTGTTTTGTACCTTTTATTAAGCAATCATGAGTTGTTAAAAACTTCGACCATAATGCTTCTAATATTCCTAATTTAGCTTCAATATACTTTTGATTAATACGATCTTTAGGTGATTTACTATAATTCATTTTAGAATTTCTTATTCTAACTTCAACATCTTGTTGTACTTTAAATAAAGCCTGCATTTTTTTAAATTGTTATAAAGTTTTAAAAATAAAATAAATATTTTAATGTTGAAAAACTACATGAAATCAAGTTATATTTGAGGCAAAATAAACTCTTCAAAATGACAAGTCCATATAATAAACTGAAAAATTTACAAGTGTCGTTATAAGATCACAAAAATTTTTAAGTCCATATAATAAACTTTGAAAAATTTACAAGTGTCTTTATAAGATCACAAAAATTTTCTAAGTCCTATGAATAATTTTATAAAATTTTACAAGTGTTTTGGACTTGAAATGCAATCGGGCATAGATTCCTCGTATGAACCAAATTTCTAAAAATTACTCTAAGTCTAAACTACTAAATGAACTGCTTTTCAATTGCACGTAAGGTTTAAATTACCGAAATTGTACTCACGATTGATTGTCCCACTCACTCTTGCTTCCGCAGTAAACACTTAATCACTTCACTCACCGAAACTTCACCTTTTCGCCTCCCCGCGCACCTCTCCTGATGATTTCCACTGGAACACCGCCTGCCGTCTGTCAGTGAACAACTTCCGCCCACCGCGACGACTGCTTCTTACCGACTTCTATGAGCCAGTACCGCCACACCTTATAAGTAGCAATCCGCTACTTCTGGGTGCGGGGGGTGTGATTCCAATCCGGAACCACCGATTACAAAAATCTGTCCTTGACAGTTCCTTCCGGCTTACGATGGACCATGAATACGATTGTACGTAGCGGGCTAAATATCTATTGGTACTTTTAAATAAAACCAACAGATATCTTGATTAGATATATATATATATATATATATATATATATATATATATATATAAAGGGTTAAAGGACCTATTGGACACAACGTCTGATTGTTTAAATGCGTTGAGAAATCTCAACATTAATGTGGCCACCTGGGATATTATTATTATATACATACTTACAGATAAATTAGATCTTGAAACCCGTAAGAAGTGGGAGTTAAATATATCGAGTGACAGTTGCACAGAATTACCTACCTATGAACAATTTTCGAATTTTATAGAGGGTCGATTTAGGGCTTTGGAATGTTTAGACAATTAAAAACCTACATTTCTACACAATCGACCATCACACGCTCAACATTTACACTCACACACTCATCATGCAAACATTCTGTCATCAAAAAATATTCAATGTGAATATTGTACAGAAAACCATAAACTATGTTTTTGCAAGAAGTTCGCAAAGAAGGAATACAATAAAAGACATGAATTTGTTTTAAATAATAATTTATGTCTAAATTGTTTAGGACGTAATCACTCTGCAAAATATTGTAGATGTGATTCCAATCCGGAACCACCGATTACAAAAATCTGTCCTTGACAGTTCCTTCCGGCTTACGATGGACCATGAATACGATTGTACGTAGCGGGCTAAATATCTATTGGTACTTTTAAATAAAACCAACAGATATCTTGATTAGATATATATATATATATATATATATATATATATATATATATATATATATATATATATATATATATATATATATATACTTTCTTCCGATATCGTTCACTTTTTTATGAAGCACACAAACGCCTTATGCAATTAATACACCTCGAACCATACCGCGAGGAAATCTACAACTAGCGACATCTATTGTTCACAAATAAAATTAAAACACTTTATATTGATCTGATTACATACGAATCGTGAACACGACCATGGATTGCAATAAGAAATTTATTAGGAGCTTCCAATACATTGTTGAGAGAACTAGCCGTTGAAGATCCTGATTCATATTGTAATCATCTTCGAATGGATGAAAGTAAATTTGAAGAACTTCTACTTCTTGTTGCTCCGTTAATAACGAAAGAAAACACTTTAATGAGAGATAGCATACCTACCCGGATAAAACTTCAAATTGTACTGAGATACCTGGCTACAGGTGATAGTTTTGGAAGTTTAGAGTTTTTGTACAGAGTACCTCGAAATACAATATCCTACTTTTTCAAGAAGTATGTGAAGCCATTTGGACAGCCCTTGGAAAGGTTATTAAGTTCAGTTATATCTATTTAATAAAATATTAAGTTATTTTCTTGAAACATTTTAATTTAGACAATCAACATTTACATAATACTTTTTAGAGCTTGTTAGAGTATGTTTTCTTGCTTTTGGGTGGATGTTTGGACAATTGTGACTTGATTGGTCTCTTGTGGTGAACTCACGGGTACAGGCACTGGTTGTGGTTGCGTATAAACTTGTTCGGTGACAAGGTAGTTACTATAATTATACTCCGGTGTTGTATTTTGGTATAGAGGCGACTGGTTGATAGTAAATGGGGATGGATGCTGGAGTCCGAGTAAATTACTTCAGGAAATGATTGTGACATCTGTGTTAACCGTTCCTGAGTCATCGCAGATTGAAGTTTTTCCTGACATATCAAAGCCCTGTTCAAGGGCATTTTCTTGAGTTGTACTGCCAAACTTTTGCAAAACAAATCAAACTCATCTTCAGTTTGGACTTTGGCTTGCTCGTTTATAGTTTTTAATTCTTTAATTGCTCTATCAATCGTTATATCAATCTTCCTTTTCTTATTTGTTGGCTTTCGAGAATATGAAGGAGTCATCAGTTCACTACTTCCATTCCTACTAATCTCAGAATTTGGCGTCTTCTGTTCCTCACTGCCAGCTTGAGTCTGCTCAGATTCAGCAGAATCTTCATTTTGAGTCTGTGGTGCATCCTGTAATTAAAATGTTGACACTTTTATTATTACAGGTTCCTGGAAGTCAACATGAATGGAATAACATAATGGAAGACTACTATAGATTATGGAACTTTCCAAACTGTTGTGGTGCAATGTATGGAAAATTGGTGAATATAAGATGCCCAGGAAGATCAGGCTCTGAATATTTCGACTACAATAAGAATTTTAGTATTCATCTATTTGCAGTAGTAGATGCGAATTATAATTTTATTTATATAGATGTTGGGACAAACGGAAGGGCAAATGATGCATCCGTCTTTAATAAATCAACACTGAATGATGCTTTGTTGTCGAATCTTCTAAATTTCGCAAAGGAAGGCGTAATCGTCGCAGATGATGCCTTTCCTTTGCGGACGGATGTTTTGAAACCATATAATACTAGAGGAGAGTTTGGCGATAAACAAAAAATATTTAACTATCGGCTGTCAAGAGCTCGACGAGTGGTCGAAAACTCTTTTGGAATATTAGTTTCAAAATTTCGAATCTATGAAAAGGCGATTCCATTGTCAGTGCAAAAAGTTGAACAACTTGTTAAAACGACGTGTGCATTACATAATTGGCTCAGAAAAACTACAGTGGACTACGTGCAACAACGATCACTGGAAACTGAGGATTGGGTCACAGGGTCCATTGTACCTGGAGAATGGCGAGAAGTACCATCTTTAGCATTAAGCGATTTACCACCAACCAATGCAAGAAATCATAGTGAAAATGCCCGCCGCGTGCGTGACGTATATGCAGAAAAGTTTGTCACTTCATGCACTGTACCATGGCAATGGAACACGATAAGAAGAATATGATGTAATAATACTGAATAAACCTATACAATTCATATACGTTGTTTTTGTTTGAGTATAAGTATTAAGTAGGTACCTACCTAGCTTCTGTTCACGTAGTGGTCGCTTATCGAACAGACAGACAGAGTTACTAGGATATGGATTAATATTATGGATATGGATTAGTATGGATTGATAAAAGATTCTACTTACTAGACTTGATGTACTCTGCCGTGGGACGCATACACTGCTTAAAAATTCTGCATGTTTAAACCAGTACAGGGTCGGTACATAGACATCGTCAAAAGAATAACCGCTTTTAGTAGACTGCTTTATTTTGGTTAATTCTGTTGTATACCGGGTCCTTATCGTTTTTATTTTATGTTTAATATCTTCTTCAGTAATCTCTAAGTTTAAATCACTGATTAGAGATTCTATAAAGTTTGCCCGCATTGTTCGGTCTTTGTATTCATCAATTTTGTGGTTCCAAAGGCATTGATAATTTTTAAAGTTCTCCAAAAAAAGTAATGTATTTTGATCGTTCCACTTGAACACCATTTTGCCGCATGAAAACAATATAATAACACACAGAAAAAAATATAACGTCGACAACGTGATGTCCGTCGGCTACAGGACTCGAAACAAAATGGTCGAATCCGAATAAACGTTAAACGAAACGAAAAACTCTCAGTGTTCAGACCGTTCATTTCTCGTTCATTCGTAGTGGGAATGAAAGATACCGGATGCCAATATCCAACACTGTTGGATCGGTTTACTAATGAATTCATTCGGCACTCGTGTTTCATTTTTTGTTCAGACATTTCATTTCGAGTGAAGTGTACCGAATGAAAGGTGAAAATGAACAAAAAATTAACCGTCTGATATCACCTTTATAGAAGTTGCAGATCCAAAAGAAATTGACGGCCTAAGTTCTCGGCCAAGCACGTCCTGCATTGCCAATCTCACATGTAATTTTGATGTCACAATGTAATTTTTTGATCTCTCTACTATATTTTTACCACACAGTTGTAGACTCAATGATTTTAAAAACTTTCTACGTCTGTCACTCGAGACCAATGGATTATGTTCTATGTAAATAATATATGCTGCCAAAGCTGCAATGTCAATGATATTGTAAAAAAGTGCTAAAGGCCACCGATTTGTTCTGCGTTTTACGGTATATTCTGCCAACAGCTTATCAATGTTGTCCACTCCACTTTTGGTTTTATTATAATATAAAATTATTTCTGGCTTGGCAGTTTCCTTATTACTTTCAATAATTGGTGACATGTGCAGTGATGACAACATTATTACTGCTTTATATTTTTGCTTTTTAGATACGTAAGAGCACACAGTTGCTTCTTTGCTAAATTCGAAATTAGAAGAATAAACAGCCCTCTCCTTGTGTGCTTGCATATCTGCAGAATTTGCAGACATTGAGCGCCAAAGTCGCCTATACTTGACCAACACCTGCGGGCCCTGAGCGCCAACGACGTCTGTAGTTGACAAAAAACCCGGCTCTCAAAAATATGAAATATAGATATTGGAAAATTATTACAGGTATTTTAATTCTACACTCCTCAAAATAGGAATAACCCAGCAACTAGTGAGTACAAAAAAACAAGTCTTCTAGAGCCACAAGTACTAAGAAACATTGAACTAATAAAAATGGATTTTTATATAAGCAAATACTATGTCCAGCACGCCAAAGTCGTCTATGGTTGACCGCTAGTGTCAAACCCGGGAGGCATAGATTTCTTGAAAACTATCCAAAATTCAGCTCAATGGTGTTTTTTTCTATTATTATTGATATTTGAATAAAATTAAAAATTGGAATCATAAAACTATAATTAGCTACATGAATAAAAAATGTTATCAGATCATCTTCACATAATAAATCTAATATCTCAGCTCTTGTACAGATAAAATGCGTTCCAGATAGCTATATCGAGGCAGTGAAAGATAACCCTCTTATACCATCTTATGCTTTTACGGGGGGATGAGTAATATGAAGTCATCTGATCGACCCTATCTACTCCCCCCATAAAAGTGTTGTAAGCAGCTACTTCGGCGGGTTTAGTTGCTAATTTACCATGTCGATTTGGTACTTGTTCTAGTTTTGGGTGATCCCGAGTAGAAATTGTATAAACCGGTCTTTTATCTCTCCACATCGAAACGTAAATTTGGCCTTTGCGATACCAGTAATAATCTCCCCTTTTTAGTTTTAGACTTGTTAGTACCCTTGGGTTGCCTTTACGGTTTTTTCTCAATGTCCCACAAGAGTGTGTTCGCAAATCAAGTAACTTTTGCGACAACTCCACTGAATTATAAAAATTATCCATGAAAACATGGTGACCTTTGAGCACATATGGTTCCAATAATTTCAGCACGATATTTTGAGTTTTCTTTCCTGTCTCTGCAGATGCATCTTTACCACGGTAAATAATCATATCAAGGACATAACCGCTCGCAGTTGTGAGGACGTAGAATTTGATACCATACCTCGCTTTCTTAGACTTTATGTATTGACGAAAGATTATTCTACCCCGAAATAGAATAAGTGATTCATCTATGCATAATTCTTTCGAAGGACCGTAGATAAGCTGGAAGTTATTATTCAAAGCTTTTATAAAATCAAGCACTTTGTGTTCTCCCTTTGCTTGATCATCCGCTACACACAGACATCTTATGACTTGTTCAAACCTTCTACCATATGTTACATGTTGAAAAAACGGATGGTAGTACAGCGGATCATTAGAAAAAAAATTCCGTCTAAGGGGGAATTTCAATTGCCCTTGTAGAAGGCATATGCCGAAAACAGATAATATTTCCTGCCTATCCACAGGTCGGAATTTATAGTGACGACTGTTCCTAGTGCGTGGCCCACCTTGACCAGTTAGTTTTTCACCATATTTATTAGTACATTCAACTATGTGATCAATTAGGCTTTCCGGAAAAACCAATTTGAACATATATAGTGGCGTTTGAATGCTATTTACATCAAATCTTGGTCCCGATGAGGACTCCTCAAAGTGGAAATCAGCGATTGGGATAGTCGTTGGCGACCACTCTTCATTGTTTTGGAGCTGCTCTGAATCGGTAGCCTCTGGAGACGAAACGAAAATATCCATATCGTGAAAATTATCATTGGCAGGTTGTGCACCAGGCTGTTCCATCTCTGGAGACTGAAAGGAGAGGTCTATGTCGGTAGGTTGCAATAAATCACTGGCTCCTTGGGCAACGGGCTGTTTTGACTGAAGGGCTGGATACTGCAGGGATGGACTTACCGGCGCATTGTTATCGCTACTAGACGACGAATGATAACGGCGGCGGTGGCGCGCTGAGATTCCATTGAAGCCAATTTCATCGTCGGAAGAATCTGATTCAGCAGATGGACGATAATCGTCGTCAGAATCATACTCTCCTCCATCGTCGTGGTACGGGTCTTCATTATTGTCGCTGGATTCCGGCGTTGAAACTTCTTCCAGAAGACGACTAATGCGGTTCGAATCTTTATTTGAATCCATCTAAAACAAAACAAATGATCATTCACTTACACATCCGAATACGCGCCTTTGAAATAGATTTATCCGTCTGCATAACCTTGTTTGCCAGCATAAGTGTAAAACAAACTATTGTAAATACAAATATCAGTCAAAATACTCACGTTAGTTCATAAATATGGTGAACAAAAAATGGCGCGAAAGTCGACGAACACAACTTCATTCAACCGCGCGTGGTGTGACACTACTCGAGCCGTCGCATAGAATCTTTATAGACCGATTACGGGCATAACCGTGCGTGCGAGGACTTCATAGAAAACGCACTAACACATATATTTTCAATGTGTGAGTTTGTGCGTTCTAATGCTTCTATACGTATGAGGGATTGATGTGATACGACAGTAAAAACGGTTTTCCTTGTTCCTCAATATTCACTGTAATGCCCGTACCTCACTTTAGAAGAGTTTAAAATTGTACGGCGGTGCCCGTACTGTCATTTTTCAACTTCAAAAAATCTACTGCTAATTCATTGCGTCCCGCAACGTGTTAAAAAACGCAATTGCACAATTTAACTGTTCCTAAAAATACATTTCAAATAGAATTTAAATAAATAAAGGAAAATATATTTTAAAAAGCCTGCAGAACTATTCAGTTCACAACTATATCTATATATAAATAGTCACATGTAGAATTCATTTGCGTGTTATTTTGTTCACTTTTTCACTTTTGTATTTAATAATATTTCAGTTGCCATCGTCATCTCGTGTGTGTCATAATTGTTGGCGAAGGTTTGATAGAGCAGCATCACATTCAACTGCAGAACGGGAACCATCTGAATCATCTAGTTCATCCTCGTTGCAATCTGAAGTCGGTAATGTATTGTTACCCAGATCAACAAAGCTTAGATCATATATCTGATAATATTCTGCTGCCTAATTATGTAACGACTCCAATCGACTCATTGTTCCAACAGCGTTGCGGGTACGTCTTTTTTGCGATTACAATAACTATGTACCTCCAGAATGTAGAATCTGTAACTACCATTTAAATAGTAACTCTTGGGATTTACTTTTAGAATCAATATATAATCCTATTAAAACATTTAGTGCAGCACAAATTGAAGATTTTGCTACATTATTGAAAGATAATATGCACAATCATATAGACTTTGAAAATATTGACACTATGCCTGAGCACACTGTACATTATTATCTAGGCTTATCAAAGTCATAATACCAACAAATTCTCTCTATAGTTCCTAGACTGTCAAGTAAACATAGGGGTTGTTTTGCACTTGCTGCATATTTAATGAAGTTAAGAATAGGAGATAGTGGCGAACGCATGTCAGCATTATTGCAAGTGCCAAGAAGCACGTTATAAATATGGCCCGCGAAATAATTAATCAGGATTTTGTTCCTATGAATTTGGGCATAAATCATATATCCCGAGCAGAAATAGCTCAAAGAAATCTTCTCATTCCAAATGGACTTTATGGGGGAGAAAATATGACGCCTGTCATAATTGCCGATGGTACATATATTTACATAGAAAAAAGTTCCAATTATTTATATCAGAAAAACATTTGATGATAGACTTAGCTGTGGATGCTGCTCTAATTAATAAATTCCACACTAAAATAAGGGACAGGGATGATGCGGCTCAAATACTTGAAATAGTTAACCAAAATATGGAGACAAATAATGATTCGTCTGAGTATGTTAGGGAACGAAATCTAAATAGAGCTAGGGCAGACTTTAGAAATATAAATGTAGACTCTGAAAATGTTAGGGAATTTCCTGTTTTAACTTACAATGATTTAATATTCATTGCTTGTGGCACATACCAATTAATGCAAGCTCGCTCCTATTATGGTGAGCATATTAGATTTAATGGTTGCTATCGGATAGAACTCGGTAACAACCACAGGAGCAGCATTACGGAAGGAATAAACTTTAGCCCTAGCTGCTCTTTATATAATAATAAAAAGTTATATATAATTCCTATAATATAATAATAATTAAGTTAATTTGCGTCGACCCCCTTAATTCCCTTACACACATTAGTATTTAGGAGAAAGGATGTGAGGCTAATGGGTCTCTAGGATTTAGGATTTGCATATACACTCCTACCTGGCTTGGGTATGAATGTGACTTTCACTTTCATACCCAAACCCTTGGAACACATCTCATTATGACAACAAGTCTGCCTATTAAGGCCTTCCCCCCACCGCAGTAGGAGTGCTGGGAATCTGCTGACAGGTCCTGCTAGCTTATTGGGGAGGAAATTATGGATTTTTCCTGCGCCCTCTTGTCCCAAAAGAGGGTCGCTTCCGATACGACATAAGAAGCTCAAACAGCCAGTTGCCAGTCCCCAAAGGCGGTTTTTAGCGGGTATCACTTAGGTTCCCTCGGTAGGCAGTGAGTCCCTCATAACCACGATAGACCGGCTATCGTGGTATGCGTAATGCATTTTCCGCCTCCCTTCATAAAGGGTAGCCCTTTCCAATTGCTTCGGGTGCAAAAAAAAAACAGTGGATTTTATCCATTGTTACCACTCTGTGCTAAATTCCATTCAGTGATTACGATATTATATTAGAAGCAAATAATTCCTTAGCATTCCCAGATGTGTTAGTCATCCGAAATTCTATTAACACCATAGGTTACACTGTATATAGAAAAAAGTCCCATACAAACCAATATTTAAACGGTGAATCTCACCATCATCCTTCACAGTTAGCTACCGTGGGCAACTCTTTGTTACAGAGAGCACAAGGGATCTGTGACCGCAAACACCTGGCTGCCGAGCTTCAGCACGTCAAGCAAGTTCTGCACGACAACAAGCTTCGGGTCCCGCACCTATGTCACAGTGACCGAGTGAAGTCGGGCACAGTCGAGCGTGTACCTGCTGTACTACCATGTGTCAGAGGTGTTACATACAAGATTGGCTACATCTTGAAGCGAGCTCCTATTAGAACATTCTACAAGCCGCTGAAGAAGATACATATATCAGATTTGATAGACCACAAATCCTCGCGAAAGAACATCGATTCCTGCCAAGGATGATATGTGAGGCTATTGAAATTAAAAACATTCTAATTTCAATAGAGAAGGAAGCTTGGTACTCCCACCTGCTTGGTACCTTGTAATTAATAAAATTAAAACTAAACCCAAGCATACCACGCAAGACTTCAAGACAGTAAGTTCATTCTGCGTATATCGGATCATAAATAGTTATTAAAAAGCTGAAGTTACTCCAAGTTAACACTGATTTCGGTACACCAGTCACCTCAATCCCCCATGACCATGTGTGCTGAAAAGCACCCGAAACGTCGGGAATTAAAAATCAAAGAAATTAAACGCGATAAAATCGGTAAAATTAGTTGTTAAAAAACTGTATTAGTGAAAATAAAAACTTTTATATCTTAAAATTCCCGACTTTTTTTGAACCAATTTCTTAACCATTTCATTCTTTTAATTGTATATTATCATATCTATATGCTTTTATATTTGTGCATCCATGGCCGAAATGTCTATGAAGAGTGGGCAATGCCCTTTCATTGGACAATATATTTTTGAATATTTCCATTTGATTGTAAAGTTTGCTGAACGATGCAGCCCCGCCCCGTTGACGAATAATATTTCTGCTACTAGTTTGTGTTCTGGGAAGTGGTTCAGACTGCCACCGCATTCCATCTTTTGAGATAAGAATATTTTCAAGTGATTCCCCTTCAAAACTCGCATCGGAATCATAAGAATCAATCTCATTTTCGACTTCAGATTTTGGCTCAACATCCGAAATTTCAAATCTATCCTCTTCATCTAAAGTAATATAATCATGTTCATTATCAGAAGCAACAAACTCACCTTCGGCACAAGAAGATTCTGCTAATATCTCCAGTAATTCTGTTGAATTATATCTACGAACACGTGATCTTTGTTGAGAAGTAGTGGCTTCAATATTCATAATGAAATAATTATAAACTCACAAAATACAAATATGGTCGTACAATAGAAACAAACGTATACAGTCAAATGTCAAGCACGATGCACTGAATGGATCCAGTGTTTCTTGCGCGCCGATAACCATGTACCGCACTCCACCTCTCCGCCGCTTTTATCGCCACAGGTTATCAGCTATTTAGCTTACCGAAAACAATAATATTCAAAGTACAAAAGTAGATCCCGATTGTTTACATTACGTATACACTGTATGAAGGTACCCGGGTACCTCGTCACTCTGTTAAAGGTGTTTAATTTGTCACTCACATAAGGGTTAAAAAACCCTATGCAAATAACGGTGAGGTTTATTGAAGCATTGTAGGCAATAATATATTGTACCAGGACAGTTCTTACAGTATGTAACTACTTTTTTAGTTTTATTCCGAGCGACTTTTGACCCATGACTTTTAACATTTTCTTTGTAGCAACCGACGCAGAAACGTCTCAATTTAGCAACAGGTCCGTCTCTTTTCAGCGATTCGTGTTTCATTCTTTTAAGTCTCTTAGTCTATCGACTCCTGAATCCACAAGATACTTGACTAACTGACGCCTGAATTGCACTATACCCTGATTAGTGTTTTTGTTTTCTTTATACATAATCCAAGCATTAACCAGCGCTGTGTTTAAAATAAGCTCAATGGCCAGCTTTTTTTACCACTTCACAGTTTTTCTGAGTGGTGACGAATATGAAGTCATTTGATCACTCATATCGACTGAACTTTTTGCTTCATTGTAGGCAAGTATAATTTTTGGTTTTTTAATAGCTCTACCTTCTTTAGAACCATTCGATGGCCATTTGAGAACATTTATACCCCGTTGATTCTCCATAGCTATGGATTCGCCTTTTTCCAGTTTGGCTTCGACTACTGCCATTGGCAAACCCCTTCTATTCTTTTTAATTGTTACAATTAGGAGGGTGTCGTGGTTCAGTAGTTGATTTACCAAGTCCAAATTGGTATACCAATTGTCGGTGGCAATTGTATAACCCAAATTTAATATGTCATCACAGAGAGACATTACAACATTTGTAGGTGTTGTGTTAACCATTTCATCATTTTTACCAGCATATAGTTGTTACTTACAGGTGTATCCCGGGAGGGTACAAAGCTTATACATTTTCATGCCATTTTTGTGTCGTTTACTTTTATTATACTGGTGGAAAATTATGCGCCCTCTAAATGCTACTTAGCTTTCATCGACCCATACGGTTTAATTTGGGGCGTACAATTTTTTTAAATTTTCGTTCAAAGCATTGATGAGGGGTCGAATATTAAAAATTCTGTCGGATATGTCCGCTGTCTCATTATCAGTGAAGTGAATCATTCTCAAAAGCAATTAAAATCGGTTCCTGCTCATAACAGTGGCTGGAAATGTTGCCCGAACACCCTGTCTTTTCTCCAGTATAAATTTTTTTGAGGAAGTTTCACCAGTCTCATGTACAGGATTAACCCAAATAATTGTTTAATCTCATCTTTTGATGGCAGTTTCGACTCATTTGCACGAGACTTAGGTTTTAAGGTTTTTGATAGTTATAGATAGTTTGCAATCCTCTCAAAAAGACTGTCTGGGACCAAAACACTGAAATATTCTCCCGCTGCACTAATTTTCAATTCTCTCGCATATGGTTGCTTCATACCTGTAAGCAAATAATAAATAATATGAGGGACAGTTTCACGCAAGCCAACTGGCCCCAAAATAAAATTATCGCGATTTAATCGCTGACAGACATACATACAGGTCAAATTGAGAACCTTTTTTGTAGTCGATTAAAAAGTACTTAGTACTTACCAGTTGGTTCCGTGAATGCCATGACGGATGGTTAATGTCCTTGTGGTTGTGTCCATTTTTGTACTGAATTAGATGTTTTTTCTATACGAGCAATTTGATTAGAGATATAATTTTCAACCGACCCCGATTCACTTTCGGAGCTACTTGCAATCACACGACGGTAACGTTTTTTTGTTTGTAGGATAACGATGCTCGTTAGGTAACGATGCTCGTTACTAATTTCTTCCTCGGAAAAATTGCGTATCTCACTAAAAATACTAGATTCTTGTGCTTCAATATGTTGTAAATCTTCTTGAGAAATATCTCAAGTTGAAGTCTAGATCGGATATGTCCATTTCAGTAAATAAAAACGTTCACAGACACAAACTCAACCGTTCGGTGCAAGCGCTTACAGATGACTGAGGTGTGGGGGTGACCGTAGGCGTGCCCTACCCTGCGCCTTCGTAACGAATATTCACTTTTAAGTATTACAGCGCCGCGTAGGTCAGTTATGACCTCACGAAATTTTTTGAAATATCTACGGAATCCATATACAAAAATGTATGTTTTGACCTAACGCTTATATTTCCACCAAAAAGTTTTTTTGTGTTTTTCATCTTTTATACTACCGGCAGAGAACGTGTTAAATCATGCACGTGGTTATATGGTGCAATTTTCAACTAAGAACTTAAACCCTGTCGTAAAAAAATACTAACTTTTGTAGTGAGAATTTTATATAATACGAAAACAGCTTTTACCTTTTCATTGCGTTGTCCAGGTTTTCCCATTGTAAGAAATTATTTGAAAAATTAAGAAGTTTTCAAGACCTTTGATCTTCGCAACCGATTTCCTGACAAAACTGTCAAATTGACAACCTATTTTAGTGTTGCTAGTTTCTGAGGTGCCATTCAGAAATTTTGCATTTGAGTTTTTTTTATTCATTGTTAGCGTCATTAATTGGTGAGGAGTAAAATCACAGAAAAGTTCTGTTAAATTTAATAGTAAAAATTGTTTAATTATAAGGAAGTCTCCGATTTTTGTCTCTGACTGTAGGTAAATATACTCACCCTATTCCGATCACTACTTATCACTTACAATGTTAAATCAAAATTAATAAGAAAACAGTTTTCTAGCACATTTTAATCTAAGGAATCATTTTTCTGTGTAGCATTAGCCAATTCACTGTTAAATATCGGTTCTTCTAAGACTGGAGGATTATTGCCTGAAAGCTGTTCATTGCGGGAATTATAGCCGGAAGGGCCTGCATTATGGATGTTATAATCCAAAGATCCTATATTGTAGGTGTTACAACCCGAAGGTCCTGTATTGTAGGTGTTATAACCCGAAGGAATTTCGATATCAGTATTGTGTCGTGAAGAACCAGCATAGAAATGAGTTTGTTCCTGGATTTCTTGTAATTCGAATTCAGACACCATGTTGAATATTCTAGATTTCAGAACAGATTGGCTGTAACGATTTAATTTTTTTACTGTTGTTGCAATGCTCGAAAAAAACTTGTCAATCTCGTCATCCTTATTTGTCTCTTTTTCTTTAAGTAAATATTGTAAAAGTTGAGCTGATGCTGAGGTACATTCTCGGGTCTCTTTGAATCGCTTTCTTTTAGATATGTTCGGAAACAAAGGAGAGTTTGCTGACGTATTCGTTGAAGAAGATTCTGGTCGGTTGGTGATATTAAGTTCTGGGTCATTCGATGTCATGGGAGAATCATCGTGATTTGACAACAATTCGTCAACATAAAAATTATCGTCAACCTCACTATCATCTTCCGTTAATGATGAAATTGTTTTTATTTGTTTCATATGCGGCAACAAAAGACATCTCTTCTTCAAATTGCCATTTTTTGATGAGGTAGCAGCCTGACCATTTTTTGTGCGTTTCTTAACAACTGCCCTTCTTTTGCTTTCTCTTAAGTTTGCCCATGTTTTCTTGCACTCTGATTCTGAAAAAGAAAAAAATCGAAGTGAAGAGATGTCTATGTGCTAAGGTGTGTTTATTTTTGTTTAGAAATATTAATAGAGAAAGTTTTGTTTCAGATACATGATCAAGTTTTGTGCGTTTCTTAACAACTGCCCTTCTTTTGCTTTCTCTTAAGTTTGCCCATGTTTTCTTGTACTCTGATTCTGAAAAGAAAAAAATCGAAGTGAAGAGATGTCTATGTGCTAAGGTGTGTTTATTTTTGTTTAGAAATATTAATAGAGAAAGTTTTGTTTCAGATACATGATCATGGGAAGTTCAGCAAGGACGTTGAGTTCAAGGTTTAGATTAGGCGAATCAACAATCCGATCAATTATACAAGAAGTATGTAAAGCAATCATAAACAAATTAATGGAAATTTTCATTCCAACGCCAATTGAAGAGCGGTGGAAAAGTATAGCTCACGGATTTCAAGACAGATGGAATTTTCAAATTGCATCGGCGCTATAGATGGGAAGCATGTCAACATTATAGCACCTGCTAATAGTGATTCGCTGTATTTTAATTATAAAAAGCACTTTTCTGTTGTCCTGTTGGCTGTGGTTGATGATAAATATAGATTTATAATAGTTGATATAGGTGCTTTTGGTAGAAATAGTGACGGTGGAATATTTGCATCTTCGAAATTAGCGAGACGTCTTGAAAGTAATTCATTACATATTCCAAACGATAAACCACTACCTGGAAGTAACAGAGATCTTTATTCATAATGGATACGTTCAATATCTGCGAAAACTTGGTAGATACTGACCGACTGAGCGGCGACGGCGCCGACGGCGCGGCGACTGCAGACATGCGCAAAATGTGTCAGTGAAAAGAAATGAATGAAGTATATCTTTTCGCTCTATGAAGTAGTCCACTCATTTAGTTCAGTACTTAATTTAGTTCAGCAAACCAAAACGAGTCCGTAACCCTAGGATATCGAGCTCGCAAGTGCGATTGATGAGTGAGTTACGACGAATGATGCACTTCACTTAATTAATTCACCTTTATACCAATCTCGATTTTCCTTCATACTCTATACAGGCTTAGGACTGTCAACCATGAAAAACTATTTGTTATTGAGTACCTAGTATGTTTTCTGTTTTCTCTATGTATCTAATAGGTTGGCGTATTTAAAAATCGAAATATGTACAGCGATTTAAAATTATTTACAGGATATTTATATACTATTTACCTACATCTATTTATAATTATACATTTACATACGTTGCTGATTAATTATTGACAATTACTACTTATAAATAACAATTGGGACAGTTTTTTGGTTGTTAACCAAGTCCTTCTTTCGTTTAAAATATGTCCGGCTTTAGAAAAATTCTTTCGCATGGGACAGAAGTCGCAGCAGCACAAGGTGCAGTCTTTTTAGGGCGTATTTGAAGAGGATTGGGTAGACCGACCGGCGCTCGTGCCACCAGCGCGGAGGATCATTGCACCGTTGTAAAAGTGGTTCCTGAAGATATTTATCTATCTCCACAATGCCAGCGGCCAAAGGATTTGTAAGTGTCAACTTTGCCACTTCTTTGTCAAATTGGTCCGATATGGACGTCATGGCAGACATTGACGTGGATGTGGATGGCTCTGATATTGAAGGCAATGTCGTTGTAGTTTGCCTTTGCTGCACTGTACTGACTTTCCTCTTCAATGTAGCCACAGCCCGGTCGAAATTATTTATATGTCTGAATCCTTTATTTTTGAATCGAGGATCCAGTATTGTCACCTCGCTATACAATATGTGTTTCTCAATGTTGGAGAAACGCTTTTCTAACTGCTTGTCGAGTGTATTTAGCATTAACTGCACTCGCTTTGGAAGCGTGGTATTATTTAAGTGCGCTTTGACATGATTATTCATGATGCCACACAGCCAGCGAAATATTCTTCTCGGTACTAATTTCGACGGTTATATCGTAAAAAAGTTTTAAAATTGTCGCTGCGCTTTCTATAACTTCCCAATCGTAGTTATTTAGCGCCAGCTCCTGTCGCATTATAGCTATTGTGGCGATTACGGCCGCTGGAGCATGTCATAAGTGGAATTCCACCGCGTTGGCACATCCTGCTTTAATTTTAGTTGGCCAAGATTCAGTTGTTTTTGCATTTCTTGTAGCTTATGTTGAGCTTGAGAACTTCTTTTAAAAAATTCGACGATACTTTTAACCTTGACCAACGTTTCGGATAGAGTCGTCAGAGCGGCTTGCACACATAAACTAATTGAATGAGCAAAGCATGGCATATGCCATCTACCGGTATCTCTTATTGCAGCAGTAATGTTGGCTGCATTGTCACTCGCAACAGCTGTTGTATAGTCGGCTATATTCCATTCTGCCATTACATCGCATAGAAAGGCTTTTAAATTTTCGCTTGTGTGTCGTTCATTATATTCAACACAACCGATAAAATTAGACTTCAATTTAGTTTTATCCGATGTGGTGCTAATATAATGTACAGTCAGTCCAACCATCTGTTGTCAAACAGAAAGCTTGTCCCTCTACTTGGACCTCACTTTTAACTTTTTCTATGCATTTATTATATAATTTGGGCAAAATACTTTCCGATATGGTTTTTCGTGTTGGGAGTGCATACTGTGGGTTAAGCAGGGAAATCAATTTTTTGAATTCGTCATTTTCGACCACAGAGAAGGGGTAGTGCCCCTTAGCAATCATTTTTACCAGCTGCTCGTCGATTTGATCGGCACGCCGTGATGGTAATGGCTTCGTGCTTTGAGGGTAATTTTGAATAGATGGCTGACTAGATGAAGAAGTAGCCCTAGGTAGATCTTGAGTTTCTGGCAACTGGACGTATGTGGGGCTCTGGGCCTGCAGATCCAATAAGCTGTTGCTGTTGCCTTTCTTCAACCAACTTATTTGTGGGGTGCTTCGTTCTTAAGTGCCTGTTAAGGTTTCCTACATTACCACCAGACACTGATAATTCACTAGAACAATAAGATCATTTTGCCTTTTTAGGTCCGTTTTCCATAAAATGGTTCCACACAGCACTTCTCTTTCTATTTACAGTCTCTAATTTTAAATCTAAGTAGATGTGTAATTTATACGTTAACACAAAAAATGTAGGTACTAGAACAGTGAGAGTACGAATTCGTCTTTTTGGGTCCTTTTTCCGTAAAATAGTTCCACCACACAGCACTTTCATTTCTATCTATATTGTCACTTTTAGTTCAATTAATCATTATATTTATAAAACTGATAGAGGATAAATACGATAACACAATTTTAGCTATAGCTACCTACAATAAACGTAACGCACCGCGTAAGTCAACAAGTGCAGTATTAGACTATTAGTGTATTCCGTTTCCGTTTGTCCTCGACCTCAAGTCGAACTCAACTTGTGAACTATGCGAGTAAGAAATTCAAATTCTAAATTATTGCGCTTTATCTCCACCGCAAAAAAGCTCAGTTTTGATTGCAATTGCAATGCTACATAAAGAGAGATGTCGATATTGCCGATCCTTCGACGATCTTAAAAAAATACGAAAATAATAATTCATTACCTAAGGCATTTGTTTAGTTTACGTACATTTTTGTACGCTAAATTAAACTTTATTGGTACAAACAGAAAGCTCATATTAGTATGTTTAGACTAACTACACTGTTGCATAATATTATTTGACCTTTCGTGCACATGTGTCGTGTAGGCCTAGGCAAAAACGCCCCGCAGCGCCGCGCCTACACGTCGGCTGGCCAACTCCAGCCGAAGCCGACGGGCCGGCGCTGAAGTGACACGAACGAATCACGAGCATGTGCGAGTGAGTGGTGGAGCGAAAAGGAAGGCTAAATGAAGTAGAGACACATTTTTAACCCTTAGCACCACACGCTATTTCTGGCCACGCATCTACACACGTGGGGGAGCGTGGTCCCCCAAAAAGAAAAATCGTATATCAGTACCAATATACATTACTAGACCAGTTTTTTTTCTACGAAATAAATAAAATACATTTTTTGAATGTTATTAGAGTATTTATTTATAACTTTAAACTTAAAAATATACACTTCTAGCGTCAAACAAAACAAGTCACATAAAACACGTTAAATTTTAAGAGTTTACTTTGAAAAGCAATTATGACTTAAAAGTAGAAACAAGAAATAAATCCAGTCTTTTTGTAGTTACTCATATCTTATGAATTACAAATAATACATAAAAATCTACAAAAATACTTAAACGTGTAAAATCACAAGAGGAATGCACATAGTACTTAGAAAATATCAAAAATCATTCAAGTTTAGGAACCTCATTTCAGTCTCAATATTTTCTATCAAAATAATGTATTTTAGCCCAATTAATACTTTTCCTGACATTTAGCACATACTTTTACGTCTACAGAATGATTACGGCACACATTCTTCATACATTTTGAGCACACTCTTGGGGTGTTACTGTCTTTGAGTCGTGGGCACAAATGACAGCGCGATTTCTTTGGTCTCTTATTTTGGCTCGGTCCTTGTGCAGGTTGATCTTCAGGTAGCTCAACACCAACCTCACGGAGAAACTTGTCAATCATATCTTTCAGCTCTTGAAAGATTTGTCATAGATCTTCTATTCATAACATGTGAAGTTACTAAAGCGTATCCAAGTTCCTCTGAAAAACTTGTAACGGCTCATACGCTTTTGAGGGTTTGAGGCGCAATATAGAACATGACTGTTTACTCCTGATATATTCAACATCGCACAGAATATTGTAGTTGGCCATCTTTGACTTCTCCTGTTGACACTGTAAGCAGCACACTTCTGGTCAAGAGCATCCGCCCTTTTGTAGAATTGTAAAATTCAATGATCTCTGGTTTCTTAGTTTCAGGATTCGTTACAGCTTCATGATGCATGGAGGATACGAGCGCAATACTATTGCTCTTTTTCGGTACAAAAGACACAAGTGTTTTATCTTTTTGAAAGCCATAGATTGACGAGAGAGCTGGCCTGCTCCTATGAGGAAGAAACTGCAAAGGAATTTCTCTTTTATTCTTACGAATAGTGTCTACATAAGTTAGGCCTTTCTATTTCAAAGCATCAACCAACTCAATCGATGAAAACCAATTATCACCAGTTACATTTCTGTTAGTTTGATAAATTGGTTCAGTCAGTGTCAAAACGTTCCTTGTTGGTATCAACAATGTATTAGCTCGTGAAGTTTGCTCTTTTCCTGAATAAATAAAGGCATTATACAAGTAATGTGTTTTTGCATCACATAAACACATTATTTTCAGCCCATACTACGCTGGTTTTGATTTGACTTTGAACTGAGGGACGATTCAATCCTTAATGAATGTTATGTCACATCTTCACAAGGCAACTGTTAACAATTTTGTAAGTCTACGAGTAAATGCGTCGAATGCTTTTTCTCTCTGAATGACGATTTAAGAAATTGTTTTAATTCAGGTTTAATTCAGAAAAGAGCACATAGACGCGGCTCAGAAGGGAAATCGTCTGTAGTTCTTCAAGAGAGCGTTATCACCTTTCTTGAAGAACAAGACCACCGCACTTCTGCTCCACGCCTCCGGAGTAGTACCACCATAGAGGACGGAATTAAAGAGCTTCTGAGGACTCTTAGTACTGGTGTTCCACCCGCTTTCACCAGCCTCGCTGTAATTTTCCACCAGCTTCGCTGTAATTTCATCCTCGCCTGGGGCCCTGCCGTTTTTAACGTAAGTTCTGAGGCATGCATTTGGAGATCCGCCTGTATGCTGTCAAATCTGCTGACAATTGCGGCATCATCTCCCGGCTAACAGCCATGAGATTAAGAGTGTGATCGGAGAGTTTTTGTGTTCTTCTGCGGCGGGTCTTGCAGAACTTCGCTCCGACCGCATGGCCAGTTTCCACGAGCTTGTCATTCATATCGTTCACTGCATTGCAATCTTATAAGATTGCAATGCAGATGCCTAGAGGCACTGAAAGTGGTTTTGTAACTCAAGCTGAAAAGTTTCGGGATTTTGGATTAGAGCACGAGGGGGACGGAGCGTTGACTTCATTAGACGAGACTTCTCCAATTTAACGTTTAAGTTCAGTGTGCTTCTAAACATTCAGTGATCGCTGCCAGTTTTCACCCTTGCGATCACTGAAACGTCACTGAACAATTGTTATCTAGTCGTCGTATTGAAGTTAATCTCGTTTTTTGTCGAACCGTCGGGGCTCAACCAGGTCCACTTTCTGTAGGGCCGCCTCTGGAAGAAATAGTTCATCATAAAGAGTCTCTCTTTCTCCATGAAGTCGGCCAGCTACTGGCCCCTTGGGTTGCGTTGCCCTATCCCAAATTTGGATATCCCCAGTAAATCTCAGCGAGCTATGGAGAGGGCTATGCTCGGAGTTTCTCTGCGTGATAGACTCAAAAATGAGGATATCCGCAGTAAAACCAGATTGACCGACATAGCTCAACGGATTAGTAAGCTGAAGTGGCAATGGGCCTGCCATATAGCTCGAAGAACCGATAACCGATGGGGAAGAAAAATTCTAGAGTGGCAGCCTCGTACCGGTAGGCGTAGTGTAGGGCGACCCCTCACTAGATGGAGTGACGACTTGGTAAGATATGCAGGAAGTCGATCGAAGTGACACGAACGAATCACGAGCATGTGCGAGTGAGTGGTGGAGCGAAAAGAAAGGCTGAACTAAATGAAGTAGAGACACATTTTTAATGATACTGAATGAATGATAAGTTTATTTTGTGAAATAAAGTAGTTCATTTCCTTCAATCGTTCGCGAACTACCCATGTCTAGGCGACTGCTTGCAGTGAGCGCGCGGACACCACATCGGCCGCTCGTCTACGACGTGCGGCCAGTGAGGCGTCAACTACCGAGCAGTCTGACGGCGGTAAGCTCGCTGACAGCGAGTTGTCTGCTAATTTATGATGCTAATGTAAAATATATCTAAAGAGCAATATTTAAAGCCCATATTTAAATTATACTCTTTTTGCCGGGTGGGAGCAGATTCGTGTAAGTGGACTATGACCTTAAGTGGTAACAATGAAGCCGGTTTTTTTTAAGTATCTTTAGGATCTAAGCAAATTTGATGAAATCCAGAGGCTAAGTCTATTGTACTTAAAATATTTGGAATGACCTAGTTGATCGAGAATATCCTTAATGTGGGGAAGAGGATAAACTTCAGAAACAGTGACGTCATTTAATCGACGGTAGTCAATAACAATTCTCCACTTTTGCTTGCCGGAAGCATCTAATTTTTTTGGGACAACCCAAACTGGGGACATTCCAAGGCGAAGTGGAGGGTCTAATAATATTTTGGTTAAGCATTTTCTTAATTTGCTTCTTGACTTCATCTTTATGTATCTCGGGAAAACGGTATGACTTTACATGTATAGGAGGTGCATTCACTGTAGTAATAGAATGTCGAATACTGTTTGTACGGGTTAAGAACTCGCCACCAAGATGAAATTTATTTGTGTATTTTGAGATATACGACATTAGTGCTTTTCTTTCTTAAGAATTTAAGTAAGAGCATTGTATTTGTTCAAGTACCTTTTGAGACCGATCAATATTTAAAGAATTTAAGTTATGAATGATTTCTTTATGAGAGTTATCTAATTTTGACGACATAGGTTGGTATTGAGTCAATTGAACCTGAAAGTTTTTGATTTCAATTTCATTTTCCGTAGTAATTAAGACGGTAACGTTAACTCTATTATTCGGCTTTAATGTTTCAATACAATTAGCCAAAAATACGCCTTCGCAAATTTTCTGATCTAGTACTAAGGCTTCTTCACAATCACCTTCTAATAAATTGGCTACTTGGCTCTCAATTATCATCTCCGACCGTGGAGGTATAACTTATAATGGTTTACTAAAATAAAAAGGTTTTGTATGACCTTGCAAATTGAGAGAATTAATAGAGTACTGTATATCTATGTACATTAAAATGTTGTATAAAATCACTACCTATAATACCGTCGTAATGTAAATTAATTGTGCCGTCGATTGCATGAAATAAAAGGTTAAATACTATCTTACTCTTAGAAAAAATCTGATATTCAAAATCAATCCTAATTGATCCGAGAGATGTTCAAGTTCTCAGTGAAAGGTCTCAGTCATAAGGACTGGAGTCATTATCACTGAGACCTTTCAATGTAATTATATCAGTCCCTAGAACTGGTTGATTTAATAAACTAGAATATTTCACAATAGAAATTGTAGAACCAGTATCGATAAGAAAACATAGCGGCTTTTTATTAAAATTAGTCTTTAACATAACGTAAATAACTTGTATATTAGAGCGATTAATGTCCGGCACATTACTAGTGCTCAGTACTTGTGTACTTGATAGTGCAGTACATTGATATAGGCGCATATTATTGCTTTTAAACTTTGCTTCACTCGATTATTAAGTGGGTTTCTTTTTGCAATATGCACATATTTTATTAAGATTGAAATTAGAATGAGGTTTATTAAAGTAATTATTTGGAATATTAGTATTTTTACTGTGCAATGAATTAGAATTAGAGTTAAGGTGATGAAGGTTAAGATAGGGAACCTTTGATTTATTTTTATAGCACGCGGAAGAAGTGTGTTCGAGTTTGTGACAACTTGAGCACGATTTGGATGAGCGCTATGATAATTTACTTAATTTAAATAACATTTCTTCCTCGATATCATGCGTAATCGCATCGGATACAGTTCGAGGGTTCCTACAGCGTACAATATGAGATAACTAGGATTCATGCCCACTATGAAAGCATTTTAAAGCTAAGTCTTCCATTGCTGCAAGTCTACCCAAAAGTTCTTTTTCATCCTCTACAGCTGTAGTGAATATCGGATTGGATCCGCGTAAGGGACGATTCAATCCTTAATGAATGTTATGTCACATCTTCACAAGGCAACTGTTAACAATTTTGTAAGTCTACGAGTAAATGCGTCGAATGCTTTTTCTCTCTGAATGACGATTTAAGAAATTGTTTTAATTCAGGTTTAATTCAGAAAAGAGCACATAGACGCGGCTCAGAAGGGAAATCGTCTGTAGTTCTTCAAGAGAGCGTTATCACCTTTCTTGAAGAACAAGACCACCGCACTTCTGCTCCACGCCTACGGAGTAGTACCACCATAGAGGACGGAATTGAAGAGCTTCTGAGGACTCTTAGTACTGGTGTTCCACCCGCTTTCACCAGCCTCGCTGTAATTTTCCACCAGCTTCGCTGTAATTTCATCCTCGCCTGGGGCCCTGCCGTTTTTAACGTAAGTTCTGAGGCATGCATTTGGAGATCTGCCTGTATGCTGTCAAATCTGCTGACAATTGCGGCATCATCTCCCGGCTAACAGCCATGAGATTAAGAGTGTGATCGGAGAGTTTTTGTGTTCTTCTGCGGCGGGTCTTGCAGAACTTCGCTCCGACCGCATGGCCAGTTTCCACGAGCTTGTCATTCATATCGTTCACTGCATTGCAATCTTAGAAGATTGCAATGCAGATGCCTAGAGGCACTGAAAGTGGTTTTGTAACTCAAGCTGAAAAGTTTCGGGATTTTGGATTAGAGCACGAGGGGGACGGAGCGTTGACTTCATTAGACGAGA